GTAAGAATAAGAACAAAAACCCCCTCACAGTTTATGAGATAGACAGTTTTTGGATGGAGCTGACCTGATAGTTACCTACTTTATACCTAGCCAGAGGACCGATATTCTGGAAATGTTTGATACCCCCCCCCCAAAAAAAAGCCAGGAAAACCTCTATAAACAGTTAGTTTTGATGAAGCAATCTTCCTTTGTAGGCAGATGTCATTGTGATTCTTTGCTTTCTCAGGCACCAGTGATTCCCTTGTGCACAGTTGCCCTCTCATTTCCTGTTTGCAAATAAGGACTAAAACTGCCCTTTGTGAAAAAGATGGAAATACCTCATATACCATCCATGTGTATTTTTTTTTTGACGTTTATTTATATTTGCGAGAGAGACCGAGCATGAGCAGGGGAGGGACAGAGAGAGAGGGAGACACAGAATCCGAAGCAGGCTCCAGGCTCTGAGCTGTCAGCACAGAGCCGATGCGGGGCTCGAACGCACGAGATCATGACCTGAGCCGAAGTCAGATGCCCAACCGACTAAGCTGCCCCGTTTTATTTGGATGAGAATATACAATCTCAGGGAAGACTCCTCCACATACTAGGAAAATGAAATGCTGACTTCTACGTTATAGATCATTAAAAGAGAGCTTTTAAAAGAAAAAAAAAATTTTAACATGACATTTATGTTCTATAAAATCAATAACCAGTGAAAATCTTTCAGAATTGGAAGATAAAATTTACTTGAATATTCCATCTTAATCAGATTGTCTGTTCCTTCTCTCTGGATACTCTAGAAAATGTAATAAACAGCCGTTCTCGGGTTCAAGGTGGCCCAAAAAGGAGCATCCTGATTATACCGAGAGAGAACCGATGTTGGAATTGTTTGGTTCCACTTTGGAATTGGTTGGACTTTTTTCCATTGCTCCTTATAAACAAATAGGTCTGCTTTTTCCCTTCATTTCTCTGTTAGCTTTTACTGTTTGTTTTTTAAATATAAGGCTTTCTACATACCAGTGAGGCTAAATTTTCTGGTAAGTTTCAAAAGGGTTGTGTTAGAACTACATTTTAATGGATTGCTCCAAGTATGAAGTTTGTTATTTGAGTACTCATAGCTCAGGTGGGTCAGGCTCTATCCCGGCTCTTTGCAGTGTCTCCTGCCTCCCAGTGGGGACACCTCTGCTCCTTTCTGTCCTCTGGGCCATCAATAGCCTCCTCTGACCATCTAACCACCCGCTCCTCCCCCCCTTACCCCGCCCCCCATCCTTCCTGCTGCAGGTACAGGTATGCATACTGGGCATGTTTTCACTCCAGAAACTCTTACTGGGAATGGGGACTGGATTGATACTATATCTACTTGTACCGCTTCCTTAGCAATGGATCAATCAGAGAAGGCTTTTTAAAGAAACAAAACATTTTAGGTAGTTCTTATTACAGTTGCTGTTGTTTTAATCCAAGACTTTACAAATAGCTGCTAAGTTTCAAAAATACCTTTCTAGTGGCTTTTTTTGTTTACTGGTCCAAATCGTAACTGTACTGTATTATTTTTTACTTGAACAGTGATACGTATATTCTGTCCTATGTCTGTTATGGTGATCGAGCAAGCCTGTAGTTCATTTTGATGTCGGAAAGCATATGCCCTGCTTTAATTATTTTCATTCATTCAAAAAAATGTTTACTTTTATGGGAAACAGCAGTCAATAACACTGACACAGTTCCTGCCCCAATGTTGCGTACAGTCTATTCTTAATAGTCTTAGATTTTTATAGTTGCAAGATACATTTTTCCTTTTCTTATTCATTAATAGATTTTACAGACTTACAGAAATTGAACGCTGTAAAAATTTCCACATTACATTCACAGTCAAAAAAATGTTCTAAGTATGCCATCGCCCTTAGTTCAAGATGGGTCCTCAGTTATGTTGTCTTGTTAATTTCTGTCACATTATCCAAAGTTCTGTTCTGTACACGTAAGTTGAAGTGTTAGCTATTGGTAAGTTTCCTTTTGCAAGCTTCCTATCTATATGAAAAACATGTTTTAAGCAAATGTCATTGTTTACTAATGGTGATTAATGATTGACATATGAGAGAATAAATAAAGCTGATTATCGATGGCATTTACCCTTAATTACCAAAGTATATGTTTGACTTTTAACTTAAATATGAAAGAAACTATTGATGCAGGTAAGTGTTGTAAAAATTCACAGCTGTTAGACAAATGACAATCAGAACTGCGGAATTTAAAAGCACAGACACAGTTTCAACACAGAGCTGTTCCGCCAGCGTCCTCAAAGGAATCTGTTTCAGTGGACCCTCTCCTGTATGATTCATTTTTGCTTCTTATGTTTCCGCATGAGTCACTGTTTTAGAATGTAAAACATAGGAAGATGAACATGTGTGTGTGCACGCACACACAGGGTTCCCGTTAATTACTATTTTTATGTATGCAAGTTGCCCTAGAAAAAAATGTGTTCCTTGTATGAGCAAACACTGGAAAGGCGTTCTCAAGTGCTATTTTCTCAGGACGATTGGAAACGGGTAGATGTCCGTTTTCTACCTTGCTTCCCAATTCTTAGATCCAGGCAAAGAAGAATTGTGATCCGTTGAAGAGCATGATGGCCGCTCTTTGACACATAAAAATGAAAGAAAGGAGTATAAATCTTGTTGCAGACTTTTCAGAACAGTAGTTAACAAAGTCTTTCTTATTCCTGTAAAAAAAGAGCCCAGAAGTCATTTTAGTTGTTGTTTTAGTTAGGATTACATAACTGTGGACTGTATATTTTTTAATGCTTATTTTATCACGCTCAGTAATAATGAACTCTAACCAGCTCCTGGTTTCCTTTGTTTGAGGAAATAATTAGCAGCCCTTTGAAATTACTGGGTCATTCCTACGAGCCCAAAATAGACTGAATTTAAGGAAATTAACTATGACTTTGGAATTATGTTTTGTTATAAAATGAATGAAAATGATGGCTTTATTATTTATTTCAGACTGTAAAATATGTAATATTTTGAAATACCAATATTTCAAATCGAGATTCAGATTTTAAACTGTATTGAACTATTTCACCTCTAAAGGGTTTTCATTATAAATACCATTGAAGAATAAGCATCCATGAAATTTTTATGAATGTATTTGAAATGCAGTGAAATTTCTACTGGACAGGAAAAATACCTAGATGTCTTGTTTACTGGTCGGCTTTGGTTTTACATTTTTCGCTACCCAGATCACCGTCCACCCTGATAGGTATGCTGTTGTTATTTCAACCGTTCTTTAAATGGCTTAAAATTTACTTGGAAAACCGCCTTTATTAAAAGGAATGAAGTCTTATATTTGTGTCCTTTGGGGTATCATTCTGGCAGCTCCGACAGGGAGAATGGGCACTGTCCGATGGTCTTATCTTTTAAATGTAACGACAGGATTTATCCACCTGCAAATTCGTTGGCCAACCCAACCTCCTCCTGGAATGCGGTCCTGTAAGAGTGAAAAAGGAATTTTAGGGCTTATGCCCCTTCAGAATATTCAGCCTCTAGGAGCCTCTCCCCTTAAAATGGCAGTGATGCTAAATCCACCTCTCAGGTCCACTGAAACCCAGGGAGGTCACAGAGATGAAAACACTCTACACTTGTCAGGTATTTCTATTATGAAAATAACATAATACACAAACCAGGCTTTCCTGTGCTTAACGACCCTCCCAAAACCTCAGTATGTGCCCCGGGCAAGTAAGTATTTACAAAGTCAATTTTATTATTTTGCAATTTCGATGTGCAGCATTCGGTGCTTCCATTTATGCATGTTCTGTGCTTTACAAAAGAATGGAACGTCTGCTTTCACTTTTTAAAGATCTTTTATTAGTCAGAATTTTTATTTTTCTTACTTTTTTAAAACTGTAAGAATCATGCTGCTTTCAAAAATGCCCTTAGTATTTTTGTAATGATGCTTGAATGTCCTCTAGCAAATATTTTATTCACACATCAAATTTTTAAAGGTATAAAAATTTGATTTCAGGGGAAATTCATTAGATTCGTGTTTGGAACGTTAGGTAAAATTATCTTCACTTAACTTGTCATTAGTGAATCCTTTCATTACTGTATTTTAACTGTTTGATTTCTCTTACCCCTCTCGTGTTCTTACAATCACGATTTCTGAGCATTCGCCTTTAAAACATTCAGAGCTTATTAATCTCTCTGTGCCCTGTAGTCTCTACAATGGATAATCCTTGTTTTTTCTCTGCCTTTTGACCATTCTTTTCACATTTACTTGTACAATCAAGAATTGTTAACAGATTTGTTTTCTACGCATGTCCTTGGTTTACTGAAGATCATGCTGATAGGCATTTTGTAAAGAGACTTTGAAGATCTTTCAACAGTGATCTTTGAAAACCCAGTGATGCTTCGTTCCTGATACCCCTCCCCCCGCCGGCACACCTGTATATAACTCCCCCTGCATGCTTTTGAAATCCAAAGAGCACAGAGTTATTGCTACATTCAGCCATCCTTTGCAGCATTCCGAGAAATGGGCAGGTGTTGCAGGTGACGGAAGTGTAGCTCAGAGAAGCCCACAGGTGTGTGCAGTGGGGGCACACGAGGCACTGGCTTTCTGTGGTGACGTTCCGGATGCATGGACTTCGTCTCTGCCGTGCTATTATTAAGCTTCATGAAATGTTGACCGGTTTGGTTTGCAAAGAGTAACTCTACTATCCATTTCTCTCAGTAGGCAAGTTAGATTAAAAAAAAAATTAAATTGAATTTGGGAAGGAAGTGGGGAGTCATTCAGCATCACAAAATGCCATTTATATAGGTAACGCTACTTTACTTTTCGTTTCTGCATTTATTTGGTCATGTAAACGTGCTTAGAACTAATACAAATTTGCAACTGGTGAAACGTAATGCATGACTTGTCAGCAGAGTCTGGAATGTGAGCATGTGCCACGAAATTGCAATTCTTTTGCTCTTTGTGTTCTGTCATTTACATCCCAGTCCCATTGAGAGTGTAGTCCATTCTTATTTTTTATTCCATAGATTGGCCAAAATGGGAAGGACTGGATTCCGCTCTCTTCCACGAAGAGTCAATGGGACTGGCTAAGATCAAGGTCTGAGGCATTTTCCACCTGTCATCAGGTAGGCACTGAACAAGAATCCCTCTAGTTCTCTGCATGTCTCTTGAAAGTATTGGATTGATATGCATATTATGAATGTGGACTTGTATTCGATGTTGAGCTCACAACCTTATAGTATCTATAGTTTTAACTGCACCTGTAAGTAATCTGAGTTTTGTAATATATTGAGATGAAAAGATATTATTAGCCGTGAAAAAATTTCAGCTGGTCTTAGAAAAGTGTAATATTTGAAATCCGCAGTTCTTCATTGCTCAGTATGTATAGTTCTGCGACCGTAAAAGTCATGATTAGGAATAGTTGTAGAAGGGTAAGTACATCCAAACATAAAATCCATTTGTTACTCCCTATTGAGTATCACCAACTTGAATATAATCAGTGTTCGTGTATTGTTTCATGGTCTACTTCTAATACTTTTTTTTTTTATTAACTTAGAAGCTGTCATTTTTTTCTCTACTGAACTTCTCTGCCCCTTATGTTTGGACCTCTTGACACATCGGTGACAAATATGACCAGACTTTGAAATATTTTCCAATGCTAGTTATATACCGGGACTCCGATACTTAGCATTCTGTGCCAACGTTACAGTTGAAAACCTTAGCAGCTCGTTTCCCACAATGCTCTAAATAGGTGCATGACAGCATGATGTTAGGAAATGGGATGGTCAGAATTACTCTTTTTTCCTGCCTTGGCATAGTGCTTTCTACCGATTGACAGTGTCGTTGCTGGTCGCGGCAGGACAGCTGTCTAGATATTTCTCAGAGACAGAGAGAGGGAGAGAGAAGCTATCTCTTGAATGAGAATATAACAGGAAAAGAACGACTCCCGGAGACAGAAACTCTAAAACGGGGGAGGAGTGTATCGTGTTAGCATTAGTGACGTCACATGAGCTAACTGTGTTAATGTCACTTTCAAACAGCAGAGAGATATAGACAGTTTGCCCAGCTTGAAGGAAGGCCTCGGTTGTATCTTCCTGCTGATGAAGAAAGTATAAACGAAGCAAACACTGTGTAACTTACCCACAGGCTTTACATTTTAATCAAATGAGCCCTGTTTTGCCTATTGAGGGGCAGCCTCTCCATTACAATACAATGGGATCTAGCGTAATATACACTTAGTATTATGGAAATGAGATTAAAGTTAGAGCCCCTGCAGAAATATAACTGGAATCTACAGGAGTCGGTATTAGACATCTAACCCATGAAGGCAAATGAGTCTGAAGGCAAAACCCAAGGGGTGTAAAGAAACTGGCTTTCATTTCTTTTGAAATACATTATAGCATGAAAACTCCAGTTGATCAGTAGTTGATGACAGTCATTTGGCCACGTTCAGTTTTCACTTTACAAAGCAGATATTTTTTTAAAAGAGGTTGTAGCTGTCATCATTTCTGTGTCTCTTAAAAGTGAGTTGTCAGCCTGGCACTAGGAACCTGAGGAATCCTTTAACTCTTCTGTATCAGGTGGCTCTTTGGGGAGTTGGTTTCTTACTCTGAGAAACACAGTTGATAATATTTACTGCCTCTTGTCCATGAATTTTCAAAGGCTTCAACCAATTTAAAATTGTTTAAGTAGACATGCTCTTTGCCGTACGATGTGTACATTTCCTCCTTCCTCACAGCACCCATAATGAATTGAAACTCTGACACACCTTTTACCCGAAACACCTCCATAACGATGGGTCCTTATGTGGCTATTGCGCTCCCAGCCAGAGGTCTCACTGGTGTGCCGCCCACAGGTTATAGGTGTGCCAGAGACTGATCCCCTCAGCGCTTGGGGGGGGCCTGGTGACTCTTGGCTCCTCTGCTAACCTCGGTGTGCCCAATGAACAGAACCCTTTCCTGTGGTATGCAGAGAGGTGAGGAAGAGTACCTCAACCAAACCTTTCTTCCCCCTAGTGATAAGGAGCCGCGGACCTCACTCGCCTCAGAATAACTTCATCAGATGTTCTCATTTCAAGACGAGAAGTCATTTCTCCTCTTCCCTCTGTGTGGGGTATAAGGAGCAAACATGCACCCTGGGTGGTGCCTTCGGCTCTCTCAGGTCTCCTGCGTCTGTATGAGACACTTCCTCTGTGGACTGAATGTCTCACAGGATGCCTAAAAGAGCTTCCCGTTGCTTATCTGTATTTCTCTGTAACACGGACTCTGACTAGACTTGGCTTTCACAGGCTAAAATGATTTTATTAATGTCAAAATACTTGCGGAAACATTTTTATGTTCCTAGTCAGATTTCTGTGGTCTAATCCCTTGTCGGAATGAGGCTTAATGATGCCACCTTTAGTGTCATGCTCTGACGCTTCCTGGGAGTTCCCGGAATCACTACTGCTTTCCCCGCGTATGATGTTGGTCAGGTAGGATTTCAGGATGTGTGTGAACTGTTCATTCTGAGCAATGCGTTAATCCGTGTTTTGCAAATGTAAAGAAACCTACAGATATTACATTAGACCAGCTGAATCCATGTTATGGTTTCTTCTTGAATTCAAAAGCATCACGTAGCAAGTAAAAGCTTTTAAAAATTAAAATTTAGTTACAAACTAGTTGTTTCTTATTTTTTTTTCCAGTCCCTTTTTGCTTTCTTTTACGACCACATGAAACTTGAGAAGCCACCTAAAGCTAAATCATTTAGTGGAGTTGGGCAGTTCCCAAGTGTCCAACAAGAAGGCCTGCTTTAGGCTGCGATGGCCACTGTCATTCCTGGTGATTTGTCAGAAGTAAGAGATACCCAGAAAGTCCCTTCAGGGAAACGTAAGCGTGGTGAAACCAAACCAAGAAAAAACTTCCCTTGCCAACTGTGTGACAAGGCCTTTAACAGTGTTGAGAAATTAAAGGTTCACTCCTACTCTCACACAGGAGAGAGGCCCTACAAGTGCATACAACAAGACTGCACCAAGGCCTTTGTTTCTAAGTACAAATTACAAAGGTACTAAACTCTATTTGTCTTTCAGATTATATTTTCTATTGTGTTGGCCGCTTGAAGCCATTGTAAACGTATATATCTGTATACACATTCTTTAGCCGCTTTGCAGAGAGGAAATGTGACGTAGATTAGACGTTGGCTAGTTGTAGTTCTGAAGCCACATACTTTTACGTGTTAGTGTCTTTGGATTTTTTTTTTTAATGCAATGCTTAATGAGAGTAGAATTTCCATATGTGCAAAGAAGTTAGCAGAAAAGGGTATGGACGTTGACGTGAGTATATTCAGTCTCGCTCATTTGCTTTTGTAGTAGTAGCTAAAAAGCAGCAAAGACTAACGTGGCGACTTGAAAGACTCGAGTCCTGCAGAGTTGAGGGGCAGTGACTGTCCTTGTAGCGCATGTTAAGTTAAAACGTGTCCGTTATCAGGGAATTTCTGTTGTAGCTTCTGTTGTAGGAAGTAGTTTAGCTTCCGTGTGAAAAGTGAACACCTAGCACTTGTGTCGTGGTACTCACACAATATGTCTGTGTTTCAAGGCACATGGCTACTCATTCTCCTGAGAAAACCCACAAGTGTAATTATTGTGAGAAAATGTTTCACCGGAAAGATCACCTGAAGAACCACCTGCACACGCATGACCCTAACAAAGAGACGTTTAAGTGTGAAGAGTGTGGCAAGAACTACAACACCAAGCTTGGCTTCAAACGTCACCTGGCCTTGCACGCCGCCACCAGTGGTGACCTCACCTGCAAGGTCTGTCTGCAGACGTTCGAAAGCACCGGCGTGCTCCTGGAGCACCTGAAGTCCCACGCGGGCAAGTCGTCCGGCGGCGTGAAAGAGAAGAAGCACCAGTGTGAGCACTGCGACCGCCGCTTCTACACCCGGAAGGATGTCCGCAGACACATGGTGGTGCACACTGGAAGAAAGGACTTCCTCTGTCAGTACTGTGCACAGAGATTCGGGCGGAAGGATCACCTGACTCGTCACATGAAGAAGAGTCACAACCAGGAACTCCTGAAGGTCAAAACAGAACCGGTGGACTTTCTGGATCCATTTACCTGCAATGTTTCTGTGCCTATTAAAGATGAGCTCCTCCCGGTGATGTCCTTACCTTCTAGTGAACTGTTGTCAAAGCCATTCACAAACACTTTGCAGTTAAACCTCTATAACACTCCGTTTCAGTCCATGCAGAGCTCGGGCCCCGGCCACCAGATGATCACGACTTTACCTTTGGGAATGACGTGCCCGATAGACATGGACGCTGTCCATCCTTCTCACCACCTTTCTTTCAAGTACCCGTTCAGTTCTACCTCATACGCGATTTCGATTCCTGAAAAAGAACAGCCACTAAAGGGGGAAATCGAGAGTTATCTGATGGAGCTACAAGGTGGCGTGCCCTCTTCATCCCAGGATTCCCAGGCATCATCATCTAAACTAGGGCTGGATCCTCAGATCGGCTCCCTAGATGATGGTGCAGGGGACCTCTCCCTGTCCAAAAGCTCAATTTCCATCAGTGACCCCCTAAACACACCAGCCTTGGATTTTTCCCAGCTGTTTAATTTCATACCCTTAAATGGCCCTCCCTATAATCCTATATCAGTGGGGAGCCTCGGAATGAGCTATTCCCAAGAGGAAGCGCATTCTTCTGTGTCTCAGCTGCCCCCCCAGACCCAGGATCTTCAGGATCCTGCAAACACTATAGGTCTCAGCTCCCTGCACTCGCTGTCCGCAGCCTTCACGAGTAGCTTCAGCACAAGTACCACACTACCACGTTTCCATCAGGCTTTCCAGTAGGAGTCCAGGACGTGGACGGAATACAGAAATCTGTGTGTAGCCCGCCTTAGGTGACCGTTTGTATTTTAGTGCCTACTTTAAAACAGCATAAAAATGTCCGCTTTTGTACAGTACCAATTTTCATTAAGCCAGTATGAAGTAGAAACGAGCTTTTATAAATGAGCTTTGGAACCGTTGGCGTTCAGTTCTGTTTACCTGGGTATTTTGTCCACACTCACTGCCAATTGTCCTGTTTGAAGACGATTTTTCCTCTAGGGAAGCCGTTCTTATTAGCGGTAAAGTCTTACGAGTCCCATGTCCAAATTACTTTTAGACCTTAAACTTTTCAGTTTTGTCAGATAACAATGGCTCTACGTTTCGACATTTGGCTCGTTAAAGAGTTTTGCAATAGGATGTAAATTTTCTAAAAAGTATACGAATAACCTGAGAGTTTTTAAATTTTTACTAGTCTCTAAATGGATTCATAAGCAAATGTTTCAAATGAGTTAAGAATCCAGTTTGGGGAGATAATAGATGTTTCTTTAGATATACCATAATTTCAGGTCAGTATATTTTGAAGACTTTGCTATTGTCTGGCTCAGATATTTGCTGTCTTTATTATGCACACGTAAGGAAAACAGAACCTAAACAGAAAGCACCAGTATTTATAGCAAAGAAAAAAAAAATAAAAACCACAACTCCTGGAAAGGTGGCACAGCATTCCGCATTACTCAAGAGTTGGCCTTAAGTCAGTGCACGGGATAGATTTTGCCACATTTCAAAGTTGCTCTCTTTCCGATGGACTAGTGCTAGTCACATTATGGCACTGGGGGTCTTCAGAGTCAGTGTGTGGATAGATCCCCTTAATCCTTTCCACCTCTCGTGGCCAAAGGGTAGGTCAAGTGCAGCCAGCGGTTCTGTTTTCAGTGTCAGTCCACAGTTAGTCCAGAATCGAGAGCCATCGTGGAGCACGGGTGTTAGGTGCGTTGTATCCCAGAGTGGACTGTCTCTTCTTGGATGGTGGGATAGGCTGCTCAGAAGGAGGATATGTGATGGGAAACCCTCGGTTCCACTTGGGAACTTGTCCCAAGTCTAGGGATCGTGTCCCTTGTTGCCAGGGTTGGAAAATAGCCTGTTGAGTAACATCAAAGCGTATCGCTTCCGTCACTTCTTGCTGAATTCAGTGCAGTTGTCTTTCCCATAAGAGCCCAGAGCAGAAAACAAAACGATAGCCCAACCCCCATAGTATCGTTCGCACTCATTGTTGCTTTATTTTTCCTTGCTATTTTCAGATGGAGACTTTCAAGTTCAGTGCATTAGAAAACTATTTGAGGGATGACCACAAAGTTTTAAGCGCCTAAAAATATATACAGTAAAACCCCACTTTTACACGGCTCTGAGAAATTGGGGGGTTGTCGCAAATCCGTTGAATCCATCTAGGGGGTGACACCAATGCGAAATAAGCGCTCTTAATGTGAAAGCAATGATCAAGAATAGTGTGTTCACTGAATGAAATAGTTACTGTGGGCTTTCCTTACAGTAGACAAAGCAGAATCGTTTTGAAGGTCACATTGTATTCTTCTAAGTATTGGTCAGGACATCCGCCTAAGAAACATATCTATTAAGCACTTGTTAACACCTTATTTGGGGACCCTGTCTGTTGGGGTGGGTAGGAGGGGGAAGGTTTATAGAAGAGTGTATATCTCTTTAAAAAAGAAAAAAAAGAAAGAAAAATATTTCTGAGCACTCATTAGCCCTATACGGAAGCTTCTTATTTTCATTTATAGGGCCGATTATCACTGCAGATTGCGATGTTTACCAAGAAGTTCTAAAAATGAGTGCAGATTACTGAATATAATACATTATTTAAAATATTTGGGAATAGTATAATTTGTGGAAAATGTAAATTGTAATAATGTAAATGGGGGTTTCACTATATATATTATACACACACACATATATCGCACTTCATAGAATCAGAGTTGCTCTCTTAAGGGAGCTTTGGCTCCTGATATTTTATCATGCTCCTATTTTTTTTTTTTTTAATTCTAGGAGCAGTAGTTTTTATACTTATGTATTTAAATTTTATTATTAAAAATTACATTTTATAAAAAGTGTGTTCCAAAGGCATTAAAATTATATATGTTAATAAGGAAATACATTTTAAATTTTTTCAAACTGCTCCTAAGCTTTTGATTAGGAGAATATTTGCTCTGAAAGTAGGCTTTTAGCTCTGCTTTATTACTGCTTCCTTTAGTTTCTATGAAACAGATTGCTTACTTAAATCACTAGTTGAATGATTAGTGTTCAATATTGCTTTAATCACCATTAAAAAAAAGGAAAAAGAAATTGGTGACAGAGCACAATAAATAGAAAACCTATTTTTAAGTAGACGTCATAAATACAATGTGAAAGCACTACTTTGTCTCAAATTTGCTTAAGGAGAAGTCAAGTTGATGACCTGAGACATTGGCCTCAGTGGGCCGTATTTCACTGCTTAACAACAGTTAAAAAGGGAGTACCAGGATTTGTTCAACAAAGCATTTTGGAGATGGGGAATGGCACCATATGCATATATATTTTTTTTAGCCTAATTCTCGCCCTGTATGGAGTTCAGATACTTGGAGGCACATCTTTCAGGGCACCAGGGTTAAAATTGTAGTCTTAATTTTCACGTGAACACCTCTCTGCCTGTTGCTGCCTCACAGACTTGAAATAACACTTTTGGAGGAAGAGGGACTTCAGCTCCTTTGTTTCTCAAATTGACTCTATTGGTCACTCACCCCTTTTTGAGAGAATCTCTGTTAAACATGAGGCAGCCTCACTTACTTTAATTGCACAAGGGTCTAACAAGGATGTGACACAGAACTGGCTCTTTTCTCCTAGAAAAAAAAAATTGGACATTTGTTTTTACACCAACTGGGTGTGTTAAAAATAGTTATTGCCAATGCTGTTTTTCGCTCTCCCCGTGGCCAGAATCATCATCCTTGAAATTTTCTAGTAGTGCCTTTATTTTTTTTTAAAAAGGGATTAAGTAAAAAATGTAAAAATATTTCAGTTTCTTAGAATTTGGACCTCAGACAAGATATTGAACCTCATTCAGTTTGAACTTCCACACGCGTGGACAGATTGGATCCGCAGACACGAAAGCCTGCGTGTGGAAGGGTCTTGGCACCGTAAGCAATATTACCCACTGACGTGTGCAAGGGTCATCTTTACCGTGAAGCCGTCACGGTTACGATCCGCATTTTAAACCCCTCTCGCTCACCCGTGCAGTCGCCAGAGCTCCGGCTGCCCTGGCCAATCCCACACCGCTCTTGGTGCGACTTTTTCGTCTCGTTTAGTGTTTCTTCCGAGCTGTGTATCTTCTGCCTGTTCGTCGCTTGTGCTTTATGAGTCATTTGTGGAATATAGTGATATATTGTGTTAATTGGGACAGTAGCGGTTTTTAAAAACCATATACTGACTGAAACATGAGCCAGAGCTGACTGCTTTATTAAGCTAATAATGAATGTTAAAGAGGACCTAATTCAGGATCGTTCATCTAGTAAGCAATACACGTATAGAGGCCAATATTTTTTTTAAAAAAAATAGAGCTTGGTCAAGGTCAACGTCTATACTACACATATTACAAGATATAGCACTTTCAAAACGAATCTAAACCTTTACAGAAACTTTCTTATAGGGTTATGCCTTTTATTTTAAGACTTATTATAATTTGTTTCAAGTGCCATTAGCTGATATATATGTAGGCCTTTGATATATAATACTTTGTGTTCAACAATGGTAGATGGTATTTTAAACAGGTACATTTTTACAGTGTTTTCTTATCAATTTGCTATATTGCACAGAATCTTTTCATAAGGTTTTACAATGGTTTATTTTTTTACAAGGTTTACGTGTCTCAAAACACACTGTCTTCCCAGTATGTAAATTTAAAAAATACCAGTTCACCCAAGTTGCTTCTAGCCTACTGAGATCCACGTGACATTGGAGGAGACCTTCAAAACAGCTAGTACTCTTCACTAGCAGTGGCGGGCTGTTGTCGCTGACAAACAGTGCCTAAGTGGACCCTGCCCTCCTTTTCTTACCGTGTGTGGGCAGCCATGCCTACACCGCAGAGTCTGGTGTGATCACACAGGTCCACGCGCGCCATGTTGTGCAGCTCTGTGCCAAAAACCCGCACAGAGCGCCCTTCTGATCGCACAAAACAGACCGATACCGCCAGTGTTGGTGAAGGCCTGCGTAGGCCACCCACCTTCGGCCCTCCTACGTCATTACCCCTCTGAGGATGGGAAAGGCAGTGTCTTTTGATGAGTGATCTAGCTCTAGAAGTGCCACAGCCTTTGCTAGTGTATGAAATGCTCCCTCGTATAAGCTTCAGTGGTACCGACGAACCGGAATGAATGTTTATCTTCTCAGAAACACTCCTTCGGTATTATGTTGGGTCATGCTGCTATTGGAACTTGGGATACAACTCTTCATGGTGCTACAAACGTCTCTGTCTTGTTCAGTCGTATTTTTTTATCCATAGGAAAAGAATAAAAAGGACTCCATTAGGCGTAAAGGTGTACAATATATTTTTATACTGTGACTTGTCATGAACAAACTTTGACGCCACCCACCACAATGTATTCGCGTGCACTTGCAAAAGGAAATCTTGGATGTGCAGAATGTCACCGGAACAAACCCCGCTTTCGTCCACAAGGTGACTGGAACTCAAAGTAAAAAGTGGGCTTTGGAATATGGTGTGGAGTGAGGGACATGCTGTACGTTACTAACAGCCCTTTGAATTTAACAAAAACTGGGAATCCATTAGGAAATGGATTGCATCACGCCTGAGCACAAGCTGGACTTCTGGAATTGTACTTTTGGCTGAAGAAAAAGTGTCGGGACTAGTCCCCTAAAAATGTTCTCATGATAAAGGTTTGAGGCAAAATAGAAAAAGAAAAATCTGCATTCCAGGCTGAATTTTGTATATTTTTATTGCATTTAAAAAAATCGCTCTTCTGTGATATTGGGAAATCAAGTGGCTTATCATGTATATCATGTACTTAAAATGTATTCACAAACTACTGTTGTATTTGTATAAAATATAGACAAAGATCGTATTTTTTGTGTGTGTATAAGCTCTGTAAAGTAGCAATCACATTATGAAGCTGCAGTGAAAACGACATTTTAAACATCCACATCCAAAGAAGCAGG